CTTACATACTTTTGCCAATGCAGGTAGGGGTGTTCAAATTTTTTATGACCCTCAAATTTTGATCCTATCCTACTCTATCTGACTTTACTAATCGGCTACTCGAAAGAATTAGGCAGGCCAACGGACGATCTTTAGGTATTCCACAAAAAATCGGGTAGAAATACAAAATACCTACAAAATTTTCGTATTCCTACCCTACCCTCAAAGTAGATTATGAATTATAAGTTTTCCCTGTTCAGAGCAAGAATCGGGAGTGTCAGTTACAATAGCTACTCTTAATCATTCCGTCTTTCCTGACTTTAAGAAGGAATGAAGTAAGGGATGACTGAATTAAGTTACTGAGTTCATGAGTCTTCCATGTATTATTTCAGTCCCCGAGATTGAGTTACTGTGTTCATGAGTTGATGAGTCTTGTCTTATTTAAAATCCAAAAATTTAGAAACCCTAATGTTTTATTGATATTTATGACTTTTTTTTATATATGATGTATTGATATTTATGACTTTCTTGTGTTTTATTGTAATTGCTTATGTATTATTGAATTTATTGTGTTTTCTTTGGTGTTATTGGTTTATTGTGTTAGTTAATTGGTGCAGGTTACTTAATTAAATTGTTAAAATGATCTAAAAATTAATAACTAAAAAATATTTGTTCACCCAATTGTTTTGGACGGAATTCGAGTAAGAATAGTACACTTAATCGGATAGGATAAGCCAAAAAAAAAATTCTTCCATAAAGTATTAGGTAGGAAGATGGAATACCATAATACCTATCTATAGAGTTGGGTGAACACTCCTAAATGCAGGTTTTAGAAGACTCATATGTACTCTATTTACCCCTAAACGTGGAGAGACTATTTATGTTACACCAACTCTTGATGCTCTCCCTTTATTACCTCTATGAGGAGTTGAGTTGTCTTGTAAAAATATTACTTTCAGTATTGTATTGAGAAAACGGAAAGGGTAAAAAAATATGGCTTAATCATGTTAGTAGTATCTAAAAAAAATAAAAGTTACGATTGGGTGAGAATCAAAATTTTGGGATCAACTCTAACATTATAAGGATCAATCTTAAAAACTTGGAATAGTTCTCAACTTTTGGTTGAGTGCAAAACAAATTCAATTAGTTTTTAATCAGCTTGATAAATAGGTTATAATGGGTTGATTGTATATAAATAAGTCCTTCGTAAATTTAATATATCAAAGAATTAATCTTCATGATCACATTATATTTTTTCTTCTCTTTTTTTTTTCTTTGGTTAGCATTCTGATTCCAGCTTTCGGAGACCTTTTATATTGCCCTACAAAGTATTTTGGAACAGAGAAATGGCTTGCAAGGGATGTTTACTTCAGAAGATTAGTCTAGGACTGCAGCAATAAAGGATCTAGTTGGAAAGCAAGTTCAAGGGACAATTCTAAATCTTAAGTTTTGGGAGAACGCCAAAAATGTGTTGAATATAAATACACTTATTGCAAGAGTTCTAAGAATGGTGAGTGAGTAAAGAAAAGCAACAATGTCATACGTATATAAAGCAATGAAATGAGCAAGACAAGCTGTCAAAGATGCGGCTCCTAAATCGTGCAAAAAATATCTTGACATCATTGATGCTCGATAGAAAAAACAAATCATTCAACATATTCATATGATAGGTAAACTTATTGTTTACCAATTTATATTTTTATTATTTATAAGTGTTATCATTTTGGATGTTATTATTTATAAGTTTTATCATTATTTATATTGTGTAGCTTATTACTTGAACCCCACATACCATTATGAAGAAGATTTTTGTGTGTTAGAAAGTTTGTTGGGTTCGCTTCGAATCGTTGTGTCTAGATTAGAGATAAATCCAAACAAAACTGCTGAAGCACTTGTAGAGGTAATAATTTAGTATTTTAATCTCAGTTTACAAATGTGCTAAATTAATATATAACATCAACATATCCATAATATTTAGGTAAAAATATTTCGGGAGGCAAATCAGGCACCGTAGGCTCGCAAGGAATGTGCACATGATGTGAGGTGGTTCCAAATAGTTGAGGCATGTGCACTACAGATGGTAGCGGTTCTGAATGGTTACTGACGTGCAAGGTAGTTATGTGCAATTGCTGGCATGTGCACAACATTGGGGAAGTTGTTGTAGAACGGTTATAGGCAGTTGCTGGTTGGGACAACCAACAGTTGTAACTGTCCCTTGCCATGAGCATCACATTATGGGAGTGGTAGAGGGACTCAACCATGATCAGCAAATTGTGGGAAGCTTTGTGGGTGAATCTGATTAGTGTTTTGCATTGCTTAGGTGGTTGGACTTGTAACCACCACATTGTATGCTATTTATAGGCATGCCAGGGTCTGTAATACAACCAAGAGAGTTTGACCATGTTTTGTAAGCAGACCCCTAGCTGGTTTCCTTTAGACTTGTTGAGAAGTAAAATGTTTGGCCATTGACCTGTATTGCTTATGTGCCTATTGTGAGTTTGTGTGCTTGCTCATATTCTGTTCATTGTGTACTTCTATAAGCAAGTGTGTGTATTGACTGAGACTAAGTAGATTATTACACACTTATATTTTGTTCTCGTGATTTTCTATTTATAATTTTCTATAAGGTTTTAATATGTTTTTTATTATTATGCAGCTAAATGGTGATTTATGTATGACACTAATGCTTCAAATTTGAGAAAGATTGCTATGACAATATTGTCGCAAATAACCTCATCCAATGGTTGTCAGAGAAACTGGAGCACATTTGCTCTCATTCATACTAAAGTGAGGAATTGACTCAATTATCAAAAGTTAGAAAGGATGGTGTTTGCATAATATAACATGAGGTTAAAATTAAAGCACCTTATGAAGGACAAAATAGGGTATAAATTCAGACCTATAGACTTAACCACTGTTTTTAAGAAAGATGAAGGTATTTCAATGTGGTTATATGATCCTAGTGATACACTTTTAGATGAACTTGATGATGATGGGCAACCAAAAAGACCAAACATTATCCTGACAATGTGGTCAAATTATTTTTTCGATGACGATGGAGGAGTAGGCCTAAGTTAAGGTGTTGTGCCACAACGAAAATCAATATCCAAAATAAGTAGAGAAGGATCAGGTAAAGTAATGGATGATGAAGAGTTTAACAGACTAATGAGAGGTCCACCAAGACACAAGCAACCTATCACTATCACTAGTAGTACTAAGGATGATCATAATGGTGATGTTAGTAATGATGATGATGAAGATAGTGGCAGTGGTGGTAGTAGAAATGGTGACAGCGGAGGTGGTGATAGCCTTGGACATGGAAGTAATAGAGGTGGTGGTGATGGAGGTACGGGAAGCCAAAGTTCACATGGAATTGCATTCACTATAGAGGAAGGATTTACACATACTATACAAGATGAAGATCATGGCTCTCGACGAATGCTTCAATATGAACAACGCTCAAAATCAAGTCGAGATCGTCAACGTGAATGTACTCAAAATTCGATCACTCCACATGGTATGGGTGCTATTAGGCATGGAGCTGATATGATTAATGATGATTTTTTCTACTATGAGTATAAGTGGAAGTGAACACCATAATTACGGTTCGTCCTCTTCATATGGTTATGATTCTAGACATGACATTCCCTCATATGATTATGGATTGGGGTATGACACACAAGAATACGAAAATAGATCCTCAACATATGGTTATGGATCTGGCTATGACTCCTAGACATCCTCCTCATATAGACAAGATGAAGGTTGGCCAGAGACATGTGCATTATTTCCCAATAGATTGGATGTAGTGTTGCAGACTATCAAAGATTTGGGAGAGTATAATTCATATTATTGTAATACTATGAGTTGGAGTAACTATTGTTATCATATTTATGTCACATATGGAGTTTCTCTAAGTAAAATCCTAGAGCCTACACCGATGTATGAGTTTGTTTGACACTCCACAGGGGGATGGATGTGGCCATGTAAGGATGTACTCATTAGTATTTCATGTATATTATGAGACCTTAACATTATGTAAAAATGTGTTTATTTTATGAAAATTAAGTGTTTGAAACTAATTTAAGTGATTTTCGCCTCATGTAAAGCCTTTTTTTTCTCCAATTTAAATTTATTCTTGTATTTTTTTTTTTAAGTTAAACTCATTTAGGACAAATTTTATTAATAACAAAATTATAAAGAGATGAGATGACATAAACCTTTCCCCTTACATAATAAAAGAACTTTAAATACAAAATAAAGTCTTAACAATGACTACAAACGCTGCATTTTACAGTCAATGAAGAGTCTAGAGGATAAGAGCTAGTTGACAGTCCAACAGAAAGTTAGATGAACAGTATCGTGAACAGTACTAGGCAGTTTAACATTAATCTGTTGCTTTCTTCGAATAACCTAGCTGAAAGACAATACTGGAATCATAGTGGCTGTAGGAGTCCTTATAAAAAATTAATAATATCTAAATCCATAGGATTTCTTTGGCTTTGGCAACTTGAACGTTCTTGATCTTGTCATAATTATAGGTTTGACTTTATCAAGTGCCAAAGCCAAAGCAGACAACTCCTCCTCTTTTCTCTTCTTCTGCATCTCAACCTTATTGCATACTGACAGTAACCTTTTAGAAGATGTCATAAAAGAATTGAAATCACTTTCTCAAACTACTGGTGCCTCCTCCCCATCAGAGTAAAAACCCCTTGATTGTTCATGAAGAGTGGACCTCTTAACGTAGTCATCCTTTGAATAAACTCCTCTTAGCTTCAAGGCCTTTTGAATCTCCTCCCCTGACATGCTTGAAATTATCTCTCCTTGACTATGAATATTTTTATGGACTGCTGCCATCATTTCCAGAGTAATGGACTTTGATTTCTCCCCGGCCTCCACTGTTAAGGATTCAAAATCTTGCTTATAGTGACCATAATCCAACAAGGATGAGGACTCTTCTATCCCATTGCCCGAGACATCTTCAGAAGAAATAGAAAATTCATTCTCATCCTCCTCATCATTTAAATTAACCAACTATATGCAGCAGAATCATAACCGAATTTAATCATTGTTTCGGCATCATTGTTCTGATCAGGAGGACTGGCTACATTGTTCTGATTAGAGGGTGAATCACATGTCATAGCATCATTTAAAGACAAATTTTGTACCCCCTTATCCGAATCTCCACCTTCCTGCATTACTGCCGGGTCTTGCATGTCATGTCTATTGAAACCATCACCCTACATGTCCTGGGCCTCATTCATATTATCTTGCCTTGAAAATTTTGAAACTTCATTGGTAACTTGTTGTGCATCATCATTTACCTCCAGAACCAAATCCGGATTGGTTACTAAAATATCTTCAGTATCTCTCCGTTGAGCACTTTCCGTTTGCAGAATATTTTCTCCATTCTGATCCACAATACTCTTCCCTGAATGTTCTCCATTTTCCATACTTGCAGATAATTTTTCCTTCTCCATATCCCTAACTGTAATGACAGTTTGCGATGCCTTTCCAAATGTGATTGTTGTTTCCTTTGCTGGATTATTGACTTGCCTAGGCTGTTGCTGCTGTTTCCATATTCCTTTTGATTGCTGTGTTGGCTTTGGATGCTTTGTTTGCTGCTGATATTTTTTGAGATCCTGTGTTTCCTTAGTTATCGTCTTTGGGTTTGAACCTAGCGATACCTCCTTCCCCTTCATCTGCTCCTTACTTGCTTTAGCAGAATTATTTACTTCCAAATCCATACTCTGCCCTTGCCCGTCGTCCCCCATTGGCAATACTTTCCTTTTCCTACATGTTTCTTCTCTGTGTCTCTGCTTCTTATAGCTCTTGCAGTATTGGTTTCTTCGTTCATAGATTATCTTTTGCCATCTTACTCCTTCATCGCCCATATCAATCCAAATTCTGTTCGGATTGTTCTGTAGTAGATTGACCTCCACGCAAACTCTAGCCACTCTTGGTTTTGACATAGATAAAGTAGCCTGATCATAGGCTAAAACTCTTCCAATGGGTTTTACCAATAGCTCCAAGTAAGGCTTGTTAAAAAAAGTTCAATGGCAGACCAGGCAATGAGATCCACAAAGGCACAACGGATGGTTCAATGCCTGGGACAAAGCCTGAGAACCATTTAAAAATTTTGAATAGATAGTCTTCTACCAGGTTGTATCTTTGAGCCACGTCTTTACATAATCTTCATGCCTCTCAAACCTAAGAAGTATGTGTCTTTGGTCCATGGATCCAACTTCAAAATCACCTTTTAGACTCCACTTTGATCTGATAACTTCTTTTATAACTCCAAGAGAGGGTCTTCCATATGAACATTTTCCAATCAAGGCATACTGGAGAGCTTGACTTGAACTTTGTATTTCTTCATTGGTGAAGTAGAAGGCTGGTTCCCCTTGGTAAAAAACAATTGGTTTGTCGATTTTGTGTGGTTGGGACATATCACTGGGCTGTAATGATTGATTTGTGAATAGTGAAGCATAAGTTTGAAGTGATTTAGAGGATAAATCTGGTGGTTTTGGTGGAATTTGGTGTTGAATAGGTGAAGAACTCATGAAAGAGAGAAAATTCTAGAGAGAAGGCAAAGCTTCTCTCTCACAAGTCCATACCAAAACTCATAAGTTCTAGTCCCATTCCATTCTAAAACTTTTTTTTCTTCCACCTCGGGTAGAGTTTGGACTTGTCACCGCGATTGCTATATTCTTGTATAAATGGATATTAACCCAATAAATATGTTGAATTAATTAATTATTTAGCTTATCTATAAAAATAAATGGATTGTATTTGTGTTTCCATGTGTTTTCATATTTTTTCTGTATTTTCATTGCGTTTTTGAAACATTTCCAAAGCGTTTTCGAAACGTTTTCAAAGCATTTACAAAACGTTTCGGTTTTTGAGTTGACCAAAACGGTACTTCAAAATAAAATTTTGATCCTTGACTAGGGATTTGTGCCTATATATTATAAATCTCCTTCACATGGGGGCATATAACACACACTATACTTTGAGCGTACTATTTGCGTGATCTCTCTCTCTTCTATTACCTTGTACTCTTTCATTAATAGAGTTTTTCAGTCACCGTTGCTGCCTTCAGTGATTAGGTCACCTAGACCCAACTACATAATCCTTGTCTCTTATTATTGATTGTTTCATTAATTACTTTACACCACACATACTCAACTGATTTGATTGTGTTTAATCAACCTTGTGCATTATTAGTTTGACGCTGTCTATGGAAAACGAATAAGTTTTCTACTATCATCTATTTGTTTCTACTCTCTCCATGGATATTACAACTAGGTCAATGAATCAACAAGTGGAGGTCCCGCCTCCACCTGCAGAACCCATCGTTGTGGAAAATCCAATAGTTGGACAACAACTAAAAACAATGTAGCTACTGGTAAACCAAAACTAATAGATTCTCCAACTGATGCTCGTCACAGGAGGAGTCGTGCCCCAGCCTGTAGAAGGGCAAGCACCATAGCTTGTCCACCCAAGGCACCCCCCAATGTGGCGCCCAACGCTGGGGCACCCCCTTGCAGCACCAAAGCGCCACCCAGTGTTAGGGAGTCCCTCACCCAGGCACCCCAGTTCCCCTTTCTCATGCCCTAGCTTTATCATCACACGTTGGCGACCTTTCTATATCGGAGAGTGAGGTGGAAAACCAGTACATGTACCACAAAAGATATTATAACAATCTGACAAAGGGCGTCCTCAACCAATGAGATGAGAAAATTAAGGAGATTCAAAACCAAGTAGGCGATGTCTTCAATAACATCAAGGCGTGGACACCAAAAACAGTGGACTATTTGGTAAGGCGCACTGACACTCCATTCATGGCCGATGTGGTCAAATGCCCCTTACCTTGAAGTTCAAAATGCCTATTGTGGAAACTTTTGATAGTTCGAAAGATCCACTCGACCACCTCGACACGTACAAATCCCTTATACAACTCCATAATGTATCAGTTGAGATAATGGGAAGAACTTTCCTTACCATCCTCAAGGGATCTGAACGCTAGTGGTTAGCCAAACTCAAACCATTTCCTATCAATTCTTTTGCTGAATTAAGCAATTCTTTTGTCTCCCACTTCATAGGATGACGTTGACATCAAAAGGCAATCACCCACCTACTCACCATCAAGTTAAATCGAGTTGAAAATATAAGGAGCTACCTTACTTGATTTAATGAGGATGCTCTCTACATTGAAGAGGCAGATGATAAGGTCGCCATGGTGACCTTTATCACATGTTTGCGCTCATCAAGCTTTATGTTTTTAGTTTTGAAAAAACCACCAACAAGCATGCCCGAGTTTTTATCTAGGGTACAAAAATATATGAATACTGAGGAGGTCACCAAGGCCAGGCGAGGTGACTCCTCCTGTGGATGAAAGAAGAGAAAGGACACTCGCGAAAACAAGAGAGAAGCAGAAAATAAGAAAAATAGGATAGAGGAAGTGTCCATCAAGGACCGCCTTGATCCTGCATATTTGAGAGAGCGGCAGGCCTTCACACCGCTCAATGCTTCAACTGAGCATATCTTACTCCAAATCCAGGATGATCCTACGATATGTTGGTTGAAAAAAATGAAATCTGCCCCAAATCGTAGGAACCCAATATGAATAATTAAATAACATTTTATTAATAAATTGACATCACAATATGAAAATAAATTGTTTAGCTCTAAATTTGCAATTGTTTAATCATCACATAGAATTTCACTCTATATTTGTGTATCTCATATCATGTTTTTATCAAAACTTACAGTACACTTTAGAATTTACCAAGTTTGGAGTTTTTTAAGTATTTTTATCTCGAGAACTTGAGACATATAGTGGAGATGCATAAACATCTTGACCAGTTTTGATTCAATCTTTCTTGGAGGGTTATTTATATTTACTCAATAAACAATATTTCTACTTAGCTAATCTCTTTGAATAGTCTTGTTACCTTTTTTTTGGTCAATACTAATATTCTGAATGATTGTTATCAATAACTCGAGATATAATTTTTTGTCATCTTTGACAATGTTTGAGCTTTAGCCTTATTTATTTGAATATTTTATTATCCCTAGAAGCCATGCTTGAACCTTTTTGAAAAAATATATTTGATGGTAATTGTTTTCTGATCAAGGACTTGACAACCAATCGAATAGTTGCGAGAAGGAGTAAACAAGGTGGCCTTTATGCACTTGATGAAGCTTCAATGGCCTTTTCCTCCCAACGATTTCTATGGGTTGATAATGTTTGTTGGTATCATCGTCTCGGACATCCACATCGCATAGCCCTAAATAATTTGAGGTATCTCCAGCTTAATTTTTTTATTCCCAATGAGTGCTTTCGTATGTAATGCCTATCAAATGGGAAAGTCGTGCCAATTTCCGCTTCCGCCTATTGATTATGTCATATAAATTACGTTTCTGCCTATTTGTAATTTTCATTGTGATGTATGGGGGCCTACCATAGTCACATATCGGGAAAAAAATTTGGTTTAATTCTATTTTTGTTGGTGAATTTACCAGATTTATATGAATTTTCCCAATGTGCCAAAAGTCAGAATTATTTACTTGCTTTGATCAATTTTGTAAATATGTGGAATCTCAGTTTCACGCTAAAAATTGTGTGATTCAAAGTAATGAAGGAGGTGAATTTCCAGATTGAGAGTTTAAGCAAAATTTAGCAAATAAAGGCATTCATTACCCATCTACTGTCCCAAGACACCGGAGCAAAATGGGAAAGTAGAGAGCAAGCATCGCAATATCACTGAGTTGAGGCTCACCATGATGTTTCACGCTCAACTCTCTCCTTGTTTTTGGGTTCATTGTTTTTCTACAACTTTTTTTTTGATTAATAGGTTACCCTCTCCAAATCTTGGGATGGACTCGCCCTTTTATCGTATCTATGGTAAGCATCTTGATTACTCTACATTACGGATATTGGGCTCAAAATGCTTTCCCTTATCTTGGTGCCTACCGACAGAACAAATTACAATAGAAATCATGTCCATGCGTCTTCATTGGCTACCACACAAAACACAAAGCTCATAAGTGTCTTTATCCTCCCACTGGTTGGGTATATATTTCTTGGCATGTTTTCTTTGACGAAATATTGCTCCCTTTCTGTGAGCCTACTCAACTCTATGGGTGTGTTACAATTGAGGGTGAGCTTCGCACCTTTTTTGATTGGGCAGAAAAGCAAGCTACTACCGAATCCTCCACCTGTTCCCCAATCCGCCCCTCCAGTTAGGTCTGTCTCACCATTTTCCATCTCTTCTATGGAAGCTTTTGTCAACCCAACTGTTGTTTCGCCTTCCTCGGCCCATACCCATTCATTTTGGGTCAGTCCTAGATCCATCTGACTTGCAGCAAAGTGTTTCACCTCATCAATCCACTGCCCAGTTCGCCTCACCAGCTTCCCCCACTAGAGTGGCTGAACTTCCATTTAGTGACCACTCTAACCGGTCAAAGGCAGGTGTTCGTAAGCCAAATCCAAAGTATTTGAATTTTCATGTTGCACGCTATTATGCTCATATCCCTTCTAAACCACGTTCGATCACAATGGCACAACGTCATCCTGGTTGGGTGGTTGCTATGGATGCCTGGCTGGCTACTCTAGCTGCCAATAAGACATGGACACTTGTTCCTTTATGTCCTAACGTTAATGTAGTTTATAGCAAATGGGTCTACAAGGCTAAGTCAAATCTGGATGGTTCTCTTAATCCTTAAAGCTCGGTTAGTGGCCAAGGGCTTTAATCAAGTGGATGACATCAATTTTTCTGAAACGTTTTCCCCAGAAATTACACCTGCTAGCATTTGTCTTGCTCTTATTATTGATGTAGTCAAAGGGTGGGAGATTCATCAACTTAACGTAAAAAATGTCTTTCTTCATGGTTTCCTATCTCAGCTAATTTATATTAAACAACCTCCTGGTTATGTTGATTTGGCACACCCCACACATGTATCACCTTCATTGGGCCTTATGTGATCTCAAACAAGCTCTTAGGGCTTGCTTTGATCGCCTTAGTGCGTTTTTCCTCACTACCAAATTTTATTGTATCACTATAAATCCAAGTTTATTTATTTTCACCTCCCAACATAGTCTTCTCATCTTGCTTCTTTATGTTGATGATATGGTCATCACTGGTGGTAACCCTTCTCAGATTAATCGGTTCATATGCACTTTGATGAGAGAGTTCTCCATAAAGGACTTAAGTTTTCGTCATCATTTTCTTGGTATTGAAGTTCATGGGTTTGCTCAAGTCTTATTTCTTTCTCAAACCTACTATGCTCTAGATCTACTAGATCTTGCTTCTATGGGAGCCTGTAAACCCATATCAACTCCAATGCCTTCCTAAGGTCGTATCCTTCCTCTGGATGATGACATGTATGCCAGCCCCACCACTTACTGCAGTATTGTTCGGGGCTTACAGTATTTTACATTTACTAGTCCAAACATTTCTTATAGTGGCAACTTTGTATGCCAGTTCATGTATGCTCCTACAATGGCTCACTTTTAGCTTGTGAAGTGCATTTTTATGTTATGTCCATGGCACTGCTCATTTTAGTTTACGTGTATTGGTTTCTAGCACTCTTGATCTTTATATTTTTTTGGATGTTGACTGGGCTGGGTATTCCACTAACCGTTGATCAACAACAAGGTACTGTATGTTTCTCGGTGGCAATTGCATCTCTTGGCGTGTTAAGAAACAACCCACAATTGCTAGGTCTAGTACCGAAGCTGAATACCGTTCGATGGCTTCCTTAGCAACGGAACTCACTTGATTATCTTTCATATTACATGATCTTAATATTCCCTCCCTCAACACCTTCGGTTTTGCACTATGACAATATTAGTGCTTTACACATGACGATTAATCCAGTTTATTACAGAAGGTCCCAAACACATTGAGTTAGATTATTATTTTGTTCAAGAAAAGGTGGCGCTGGGTTCTATCAAAACTCATTTTGTTCCATCGACATGTCAATTAGCTGATATCTTTACCAAGCCATTGTCCAAGAATTCCTTCCTACATTTTTCGTGGCAAACTCATCCTTTGTCCAGATCCGCGGCTTTTTTTGAGGGGGAGTGATAAGGCCACTGATTCACAATCTGTTGATAACAACAAAGAGTCCCATTGGGCAGATACATCTCCAGTAGCTAAGTGATAAACATCACATGGTTATCTTACTCTTTCCGTTACATATTGTATCTACCCATTTCATCTGGTCAAATACACTTTGTAATCTTCCTATTTATATTGAATACAAGGTTGTCTCTTGATGATGCACAAAATAGGTCTATGCACAATTAATAGTCGAGTATATGATGTTGATTAATGAATGAAGCAATTAATAAATAAGACAAAGATTAAATCAACACACAGATGTATAGTGATTCGGTCAAGGTGATCTATTTCACTCTAAATGCGGCAATAATGGCCGGATAACTTTATTCATAAAATAGAAGGTGCAAAAAAAAAAAGCAGCAGTAAGCTCTAGGAGAGGTTGGATAGCTATGAGAGAAATAGCAGTGTAAAAAGTGTGAAGAGAAAGATCTCCTGAGCTTATAATTTATAGGCGCAGAGCTTTAGTTGAGGAGGTGACGTGATGGATAGGTCAGTAGTCCTTCAAAGAGGATATGTATAACTAGGATAGATAAAATTAGAGATAGTATTAATCTAGGAGACTGGCTATGCAGATAATTACTCCTCATGTGTGGTAATATTCTTGGATCCCTTGAATCTTGGTCTAGGCCAAATTTATGAACTGGATTTGACCTACCTTTAGTTGATTTGAACCTACTTAATTAATTGGGTCCAACCCAGCTAAATCTGAACTCATCATCTCTAGCGCATCGTAAGATAGAATTGCTCATAACTCTTTAAATATGTGGTTCCACTTGTGAGCTTGGGCATGAAGCAGCTCACTGGCTTGCACTCCATTAGGCAAAGCCATCTCTTAAGCTAACTTAAGATGCTCAATACTTGATGCAAACTAAGAAAACATTGATTCATATATGTAGTAACCTGGAATGGGATTAGCAAGATGTGCAAAATTATTTCAATTGTGACCTCGATCTCACTTTGTCACTAGAACTATTAAAATTGTTCCATTACCCTCTCACTGTTGGCATTGATTTCATATTGCCTCAAAAGCAAAATTATGTTATTTGGGTGAAAATATTCCTGTGTGTTGTAACAAAGTTAAGTATTTTTTTTCTTTATAAATTTGTAACAGAAGTTATACACTAGGTACTATGCAACTAACATTTGTAGTTAAATGTACAACATGAGAAAAATAATAATTGAGGGAGTTACGTGAGACTGGAGGCCATTGTTGTAAGTGTCAAAATGTAATTTTTCCTTGGCAGTTGGACCATAGAATTTGTGGCACATAATCTTCTTTAGATAAGAGCATCTCCAATTCGTACTCCTTTTTTAAACACAAATTTAAATTAGAGTAAAAAATTCCTAAAAATCTGCTTTAATGCTAGACTCATATTCATATCAAATGAAGGGAGAATTTGTTTTTGCTCAAATCAAGTGAGACTCAAATCCATATTCAAATCTTTAATGGTAAAATTTAATCATCCTTTAAAGATTCAATAGTCATATTTTACCATTTTAAATTTAAGTTTTTCTTTATTTAATTTTGGGTTTCTCTTTTTTTTAAAAATGGTTTGTTGTTTGGAGAGGTTTTTATCAAATCAAGCTTTTTTTTTTTTACTGAAATTTGGGTAAGGGGTTGGGTAAGACTGTAGATGGTCGAAGAGTATCTTCAATAGGCTCTCTATTATCACTCAATTCTTTATTTTAGAGAGTCAATTCCTAAATTTAATTTCCAATGGACTCTCTCTATTTAGATTCTCTAAAAATAGAGAATCCAATTTGACTATCTACTCTATTTTTTTGGACTAATAAAGGGTATATGTGTCTTTTAGTCTAAAATGTTCGGTATAAATATATTTTAGCTACATCAAGCCCACTTCTTCTATTCATTTGAACCTTCGAATGGATTTCTCTGAAGAAGTTAAATTTATCTTCAAACTCCACAAGCACAACATCAAGATATGACTATTAAATTATTGCTTCAACGTGTTTCTCATGTTAATTAATTGACACTCTATTTATTTCATTCAATATCAAGTACTCTTAATTAATTGCCATCCTTTAACTTGTTCACTGGTATATGTACTTACATCTACATAATATATTCCTATATAATAAAACATAATGGAAGTTAAATATTATTCATATATATTTTTCCCGCTCATCGCACAATCTCTAAACGGTGATGCACAGCTCCCAATGCATGCACATGCCTGACACAAACACCACTTTGTTAACCCCTTCCCCTCTTTACGCTTCCCATCTCTCTCTCTCTCTCTCAGAACACAAGCTTGCCCTTTTTTCTCTCTCTCCATTTTTCCTATCTCTCTCCAATCAAGATGGATGCAGTCACCGGAGGCAACCCAACGACCACCACCAACGACACCATAACCACCACCCAAAAATAGCCCAGATCCAGGTATCCCCTCTCTGCCTCGCCCCCTCTCTCTGTCTTCATCTCTTTCTCCTTCTCTCTGTACACACAAACACCCAATACATGCACACAACACACCCACATGCACATATCACACCATACCCACATGCACACCATACCTACACGTGCAAACACACGCAAACAACAATGCTCTCAGCACTGTTTTGAAATTTTCACTCTTTAATTTGTTTCTAATTAGTAGAGAGGCATTAAATTTTGGGGTTTTATATTTGTGGTTCACCCTACATTACGGGTAGCAATTATGGTATTTTATCTTCGTACTCGATACTTTGCAAAATAATTTTTTTTTGACATATTCTATCTGATCAAGTATACTATTCCTACCCGAATTTCGTCCAAAAGAATCGGGTAGGAAGACGGGTAAAAAATCGAGTGAACACATATCTTTTAGTTATTAATTTTTGAATTATTTTAATAATTTAATTAAGTAACCAACACTAATTAACTAACAAAATAAACTAATAGCACTAAAAAAAACCAAATAAATTCGATAATACATAAACAATTATAATAAAACACAACAAGAAAGTCATAAACATCAATATATATATTGCATTCATACCCAATATTTTGCGGAATACCAAAAGATTTTTCCTTGGCCTTATTGGATTCTTTCGAATAGTCAATCAATAAGGTTGAGTAGAGTAGAGTAGGGTAGGATCAAAATTGTGTGTAATCAGAAATTTTAACTACCCAAATAGTGTTATTGCACGCTTATTGCTCTTGATTCAAGACAACACATACAAGGTTAAATCAAGGATAAACTTCAATAAGAGACCTCAATCCTAGTACCGGAGTTATTTTATAGTCAGTGAAGCCAGCATCAAAGAAGAGCTTTGCCCACTCTTTCTCATTTCTCTCTTTGCTTGCGTGCAGAACCATCATCAACATATCAAGGAAGAGTTCTGTTTCAATGGAGTTGTCATCCCCTTTCTGGTTCTCCAAAACCATGTCTATGATAATTATCTTTCCACCCTTATTCTCAATGGAGATCGCCTCTTTATATTTCTTTAGTATACGAAGACTCTCTTCGTCGCTCCAATCATACAATATCCACTGTTTGCCATTCACAACCATTATAGTATTAGTCAAAAAATTTAAAATCATGAAAAGGGTCTAAAATAAAAACGAAAAAGAGAAAACATTAGTTTGTTAGCTAAATTGTCGACATATCATGTCCATCTACGAAAAAAAAGTGTGTTTGATGCTAATATTTTGGCACAATATCAAAAGTTATGATTCAATTATTTCAAGTTCTAAGTTAAACGAACTAAGTTATGACTCAATGGGAATAAATTTTAAATTTTTAGACTTTATTCATGACATAGAATAATAAGTATTTGCTGATTATTTGGAGCAGAAAGGTCGCTATGTGGTCAAAGCCCAAAAAAAAAAAAGCAAAAAGGTGATAGTAGAGATAAAATAAATCGAACCCAGAATTGATTGAGACTAGTGGTGTTTGATTTGGATGGAACCAATAATCAAGATCCATGCTTTGTCACAAGCTCTTGTAGTTTTGGGTCAAATTCTATCGTTTAGACCTTCAAAACCCTATTTTTTGTCGTTTTAAAAAAGAATTCAAAAATTAATAATAAATCATAAGAGATTATAAATTCAGTAACATCTGTTGGGTTAGACTTCATATGACAAGTGTTTTTATGTTAATTAGTTAGATTATAATTTTTTATTTTTGGTAACTTTCATATAATTAAGGATTTTGCCTTTATCATTCATTTGTTCCGCTGCGTCAATTCAGCCCTAACCACCATAACTTCTGCTAAAATTATTTGGTAGGTATCGAGTCGTTAGGGTAGACTTTTCCTTAGGAAAAAGCACTTGTGATGCACAAAATTTGTTTTTTTTTTTTTTCTGTTTTTGTGATGACACGAAGTATTTGAATCCTTTAAGTTTTTTGACTGAAATAATTTACCGGATTGAATTATATATTGTTGGAAAATGAAGTTAAATTGGCCACAAAAAAAATTAAGGACTGAAGGTTATTAGTTTAAACTCCATGGCGGAAAAGTGCAATTAACCCCAATACAAATGAAAAGGAATTCACTACCTACCTTGAGTAAAAGAGCATCCGCAGTAGGAAGAGCCTCAAACATATCTCCCGCAACATAGCTCAAGTTCTTATTCCCTTCCAAGCCGGCAACGACATGTGGAAGGTCAAACACAGTGCACTTCAAGTGTGGAAATGCGTCGGCAATGGCCTTTCCGACTGTCCCGGTACCGTCCCCATCGTCTACCAAGAAATTCACCCCCTCGAACACTCCCGTACAGTCTCTAATCACCACATTTGAGACCTACCGGGCATCACTGGCCATGGCGTCATTGAAAAATTGGTTAAGCCTCGGTTCATGACCTGCATATGCCCAAAATGCCCGCCCATGGGCAGTTTCAAACGGTGTGTGATCGTCATTTTGGAGCCATTCAGTCATATAATGCCATGGCTCTATCAGGATCGGATCAAGCACGCTTAGCAAAAATGGAGCCAGACTCAAGGGATTATCCTTCACGAGATGCTGAGAGGCTGGTGAAAGAAAATAGCCTTCTTCGTCATCATTTTTGGAGATTTTTTGCATGACAAAGAAGTCAGAGTGAACTAGAATGCGCATGAGGCAGCAGACACAATGGGCTTTAGCCCGGTTAATTGAGAGAGCATCGACCAACTCAGAGAGGGTCATTGGCCGGCCATGACCATGTACAACATTTGGTATGTCTAGCTGAATTGCACATTTGAGTGACATAGAGTTTATGAAGTTGAATATGTGGTCCATATGTGAGCTTGGGCGTTAGGTAGCTCACTGGATTGCTCCCCATTAGGCAATGCCATCTCTTATGATCAATACTTGATGTCTACCATCAAAACATAGATCCATATATGTAATAGCCTGGAATGGAGCACGTGAGGAAATTTACACTTTCACCTTTTTAAACTATGTCTTCGATCTTACTTTGCCCTTGAACTTTTAAAACTCACATTAACCACTCAACTACTTCAATTAATTTCACATGTTGCCTCCAAATCAAACATCCATTACCTTTTGGAGGAAAAATGTCCACATATTAGCCCAAAATGAAACAAAATCAAATAGTTTGAGAGACAAAGTGAAACAACTTTTATTAATAGACATTAGTCATTTGGGCAATATAAAACTAATAACTATAATTGATGGTGTAATATGATAAATATGATAGTTGATAGGACTGTGAGTCAGGGACGACAGTTGATAGGGCCAAAGTTTTCCCATATCAGTTGGACAGACCACCAATAAAATCTGTAGCAATAATGCTTTGCAACTAAGAGGAGACGAGAATTGAACCGTAGCATGGGTCTACCTATAGTTATTAGACCAAGAGCTGGCCATACTGACTACTATTATTTTACTTTTAGTGAACGATTCTAAATAGATTTTATTGATCAATAAAATTGTCACTAACTGAATTTATTATATTACTGCTCATAATCATGTGTCTGAAGGTACAATAAACCATAAAATTTGAGTACTCAAAAAATCGATCCCACTATATTAAATTTTTTTAACATGTGTATACTATCGTATATGAATAATATTTGAAATAAAAATTATATTAATTAAAAATTAATCAAATATTAAATGATTAAACATACGATAGAAATGAGTGATGTGATATTTTTAGGAAAAAAATATGTAAATGATTAAACATGTGATAGAAATGAGTGATGTGATATTTTTAAGGAGGAAAATATGTAAGGAATAAAAATTCAAGTTGTTATGTGTTTTGTAAGAGGTAAAAATTGATTATACCTCTCACTAAAGGTTGAATTTGATATTTCTGATAAAGAATATTTCTGAACTTGGATCTCCCGATCTTTCTGTTCTGCAAAACGAACAAACTGCCCAAGATCGAAGTGCTTCGATTGAAGGCACTCCGATGCTTAAATCAGTAAAGAAACAGAATAATTGCTAAAAGACTAGGAGAGTTCAGCGTACCTTTCACCTTGGTCTTTTCTGCTTTTTATAGATCTTTATCCCTTTAGGGTTTCCGTCAATTTTGATTCGAGGTGACACACCTTCTTTCAATTTAGTGATTAAGTTTGAGAAGTTGCTGATATTTCTCAAATATTTCCTTCTGATATCTTCAATTTCGCTGATTTGTTTATCTGATTGCCTAAGTTATAGGCGAATATTTATCTTTCTGTCTATCATTTGAAACAGTTCGAACATATCGAACACTGAGCACACTCGATGTTTGTCAAACAGATTAAGGGACTTGGTTTGGCACAAACCGATCTCTTCAATCGTCTTGCCGAACACTTTAATAAACTCGGCTTGGTACAAGCCGAGCTCTTTCCTTACTTAGCTGAACAGATTGATGAGCTCGGTCATAAAGAGAATCGAACTCTTTCTTTCTTTGTTGAATCTGTTGATTAGTACGGCTCGGTTTATAAGGCTGTGTGAATGATTTCTCAGTCATGTGACATGTCTTGTCAACCTCACGTGAGTTTAATTTAATGTCATTACATGTGTAATGATAAGGGCTAACCCCTTCATGTTTTATTATATAGATGTATAGTGACAATTGATGAGCCTAGAGCCAATTGGACTTGGACTTGGATCTAGTTCATGGGTTAAGTCAAAATCATCCAAGATTAGCTCAGGGCCTCAATTCAATCCAAAGTCCAGGAGCCCATGAAAAGAGCGTACGTAGGAAAACAATTATCGAAATATCCATTACTTCAAGATAGTGCATATCCCTAAACATAACTATCTTTCCCGGTAGATTGGTGGCCTTCACGTCACTGCCTCAACTAGGGCTTTGTGCCTATATATTATAAATCTCCTACATAGAGAGGCATATAACACACACTATACCTTGAGCTTATTATTTGCGCTCTCTCTCTCTTCTATTACCTTGTACTTTCTCATTAATAGAGTTCTCCAGTCACCGCTGCTGCCTTCAGTGATTAGGTCACCTAGACCTAACCACCCAATTCTTGTCTATTATTATTGATTGTTTCATTAATTACTTTACACCACACACACTCAATTGATTTGATTGTGCTCAATCAACTTTTTGCATCATTAGTTTGACGCTGTCTGTGGGAAACAAATAAGTTTTCTACTATCATCTATCTGTCCCTACTCTCTCCATGGCTATTCCAGCTAGGTCAATGAATCAGCAAGCGAAGGATAACGATCCAGCGCATTAGGAGGAGGTCCCGTCTCCACCTGTAGAACCCATCGTTGTGGAAAATCCTATAGTTGGACAGCAACTACTTGAGACAACGCAGCCGCTGGTAAACCAAAACCAATAGATTCTCCAACTGATGCTTGTCGTAGGAGGAGTCGTGCCCCAACCCGCAAGAGAGCAAGCGCCATAGCTCGTCCACCCAAGGTACCCCCCAACGTGGCGCCCAACGCTGGGGCTCCCCCTTGCAGCATCAGGGCACCACCCAGTGTCAGGGAGTCCCTCACCTAGGCACCCCAACTCCCTTTTATCATGCGCCGGCTTTGTTATCACACACTGGCGACCTTTCTATATAGGAGAATGTGGTGGAAAACCAGTACGTGTACCACAAAAGTTATTATAATGATCTGACAGAGGCGTCCTCAACTACTGAGATGAGAAAATTAAGGAGATTAAAACCAGCTAGGCGACCTCTTCAACAACATCAAGGCGCGAACACTAAAAATAATAGATTATCTAGAAAGGCGCCCTAACACTCCATTCATGGTCGATGTGGTCAAGTACCCCTTAATTACCCTCGAAGTTCAAATTGCCTAATGTGGAAACTTTTTACAATTCGAAAGATCCACTCAACCACCTCAACATGTACAAATCCCTTATACAACTCCATAATGTATCAGATGAGGTAATGGGCAGAACTTTCATTACCATCCTCAAGGGATCTGTACGCTAGTGGTTTGCCAAACTCAAATCATTTTTTATCAATTCTTTTACTAAATTAAGCAAATCTTTTAACTCCCACTTCATAGGGGGAGGCTGACATAAAAAGACAGTCACCCACATGCTCACTATTAAGCAAAAATTGAGATAAAAATTTAAGGAGCTACCTTACTCAATTTAATGAGGATGCCCTCTAGATCGAAGAGTCAAATGATAAGGTCATCAAGACCGCCTTTATCACAGGTTTGTGCTCATCAAGATTTATGTTTTTAGCTTTGAAAAAATACCAGCAAGCATACCCGAGCTGTTATCCAGGACAGAAAAATAGGACAGAGGGAGTGTCCATTAAGAACCGCCTTGATCCTGCACCTTTGAGAGAGCGGCAGGCCTTCACACCGCTCAATGTTTCAATCGAGCATATCTTCAAATCCAGGATGATCTTACGATATGTTGGTCGGGAAAAATGAAGGCAACCCCAAATCGTAGGAACCCAATATGAATATTTAAATAACATTTTATTATTAAATTGACATCACAATATGAAAATAAATTGCATAGCTCTAAATTTGTAGTTGTTTAAGCATCACATAGAATTTCACTCTATATTTGTGTATCTCATATCATGTTCTTATAAAAACTCACAATTTGTGTACTTTAAACTTTACAAAGTTTGAAGTTTTTTAGGTATTTTTACCTCGAGAACTTGAGACATATAGTGGAGATACATAAAAATATTGACGAGTTTTGATCCAATTTTTTTTAGAAGGTTATTTATATTTACTCAATAAAAAATATTTTTATTTAGCTAATCTCCTTGAATAATCACATTACCTTTGTTTTAGTCAATACCAATATTCTGAATGATTGCTTAACTTTAAATTATTTGCATGAGAAGTGTGTTATCAATAACTCTCTTGAGATATAATTTTTTGTCATCTTTGACATTGTTTGAGCTTTAGCCTTATTTCTTTGAACATTTTATTCTCCCTAGAAGCCATATTTGAGCCTTTTTGAAAAAATATATTTGATGGTCATTGTTTTCTGGTTAAGGGCTTGACAACCAATCAAATAGTTGCGAAAAGGAGTAAACAAGGTGGCCTTTATGCCTTTTATGAATCTCCAATGGCCTTTTTCTCCCATCGATTTTTGTGGGTTGATAATGTTTGTTGGCATCATCGTCTTGGACATCCACATCACAGAGTCGTAAATAATTTGCATATCGAAAGCTTCTTTTTTTTTATTCCCAAAATAAGAGTGCTTCCGTATGTAATGCCTATCAAAGGGGAAAGTCGTGCCAACTTCCGTTTATGCCTATCAATCATGTAATAAATTTTTTTTTTTTAATAATATTCTTTGTGATGTATGGGGGCCTACCACAGTCAAATATCGCGAAAATTTTGCTTTAATTCTATTTTTGTTGATGAATTTACCAGATTTACATGGATTTTCCCAATGTGCCAAAAGTCGGAATTATTTGCTTGCTTTGATAAATTTTGTGGAATGTCAGTTTGACTCTAAAAATTGTGTGATTCAAAGTAACGAAGGAGGTGAATTTTCAGATTGAGAGTTTAAGCAACATTTAGCAAATAAAGGCATTCATCACCCATCTACTGTCCCAAGACACCGGAGCAAAATGGGAAAGCAGAGCGTAAGCATCGCAATATCACTGAGTTGGGGCTCACCAAGATGTTTCATTCTCAACTTCCTCGTTTTGGGTTGATTGTTTTTCTACAACTGTTTTTTTGATTAATAGGTTACCCTCTCCAAATCTTGGGGTGGACTCTCCCTTTTTATCGTATCTATGGTAAGCATCTTGATTACTCTACATTACGGGTGTTGGGCTCAAAATGGCTGCCCATATCTTGGTGCCTACTGACAGAACAAA